ATATATATATATATATATATATATATATATTATATACACGAGTCTGACCTGATGGGCTCTGCAGATAAGATCGAGATCGTGTTTTCTTAAGAAGTTATGCACAACATCTTGGCCGAAGGTAAACGAAACTCCTCTGTCATTTTCTCCCCACCCCGCAATTTCTTTCTCAGGATCAGACCAAAGTAAGTCACATAGCAGCCCTACACAAACACGAAAAGGCAAAAGAAACATGCAAAAGATGCATGCTTGCGTGCGTCAGCTAAGTACGGGTGCATGAAAATCGACGCTAACTGCGTGTTCCTCCGCAGGGCAGAGGAACATGCATTCCCGCAAATATGTGCATGCATGCATATACAAAACAAATACATGCATAAACTATTCAAGAACATGCACGCAAACAAGCATCACCCTCGAGAAACCCTCAACAGTCAGGAAGAAGCAGAACGCAATGTACACCTTGATTAAAACTTATTCAACAAAGCGCAAACATAGACTCATGCAACTCCTACTCCAAATAAGGCCTTCATATAGCGTGCAGCTGTGTACACCAGCATGCACAGCACGGCCATGACATCCAATACGACGACACAAGCGAAGACAGCAAGCAGATGCGGACAGAACTAACAAAACAAAGCCAGCCAAAACTAGCCATGCAACAGACAGGCAAAACAAAAAGCATGCAAGCAAAGCAAAACCAGACAAAACACACAAGGCAGACGGAAGAAATATAGAGGTCCAGAATAATAAAACAAAGGCACATAAAACGAGCACGAGACACCTACGAAAAGAGAACACGAGAAAGAGACAAAACAAGCAGCAAACAAAGCAAAGAGAGCCGGCAAAAGCTACCACGACGAGGCAACGGAAACAAAAGAAACCAAAGGACAAGACGAATGCTAGCTAAACAGAACGAAGCAAAATAAGAAAAAATAAAACAAAACAAGTCAAGACAAGGTACACAGAGGGAAGCGAAGTAAGAGAAGAAAGTAAATAACGAGAAGAGAAGCCAAGGGAGACAGACCAGTGTCGGGTACATCAGTAGGCCTAAGAATCTTGCGAACTTGATCCATCGAGTTTAACTCAGGGGAAAGACCTCCATGCATGCATAAAATCTTCTCGTCAATAATAGCAGCGACAGGCAAGCAGTTAAAGCAGTCAGTAAAGGTCTTCCATAGCTTCACGTTGTAACGCCGCTTGCCTGCAAACCAGAAGTCAAGCCCCACATGCATGCACACGTGCAGCATGCACGCATGTGGTCATGCATGCAGGAGCACGCATGCATGCATGCATACAGGCGTGCACGCAACCCCATGCGCATTTTCGACTTAGGAGTACGCATGCGCTAGATGGGGAAAATGGGGCTGCGACTCATTTGCCCGCAACCCCAGCAACCCCGCCTATCTGCTGGGTCCATGCAGAAAGTAAATGCATGTGTCCATGCAGATATATGCATGCATGCATGCATACACATAAAAACAAGAACACAATTGATATGAGGCCAACTGCTTCATTCGAAACAAAACAAAAAAGGCAGAGAAGTGGCTGTGGTAGCAGCTGGCGAGTTGACGTGCACATCCACCCGAACCAACGCCTGCATGCATGCATGTATATACTTTAACTATTATGGTCCACAAGAACAGGAGCAGTAGAAATAACAAAGTGAAACCATACAACCCGCGTGGTCATAAGCGCAGCGCAAAGAAGACCCCTGCGGCTCCAGGTGTACATACACCCCGTTACTAGGTACGTCGCTGTCAGTACGTCCCTCTGTTCTTGTTCTTGTTGTGGCTGCAGCAGCTGCCGGTGCATGCATGCATGCACGGATGCATGCATGCATGCATGTATGTATGTGGCTTACATTCATCATAGAATCCGTAGATGCGGTTAATCGAGGCGCATTCGTGGTTGCCTCTAAGGAGGAAGAAGTTTTCAGGGTATTTAATTTTGTAAGCTAAGAGTAGGCAGATAGTTTCAAGGCTTTGTTTGCCTCTGTCTACATAATCTCCTAAGAAGAGGTAATTAGCCTCTGGGGGGAATCCCCCATACTCAAAGAGGCGAAGAAGATCATAATACTGTCCATGTATATCTCCACATATCTTTATAGGGGCCTCTAACTCTAACAAAATTGGCTGTGCTATAAATATTTCTCTACTCTTCTGACATAATCCCCTTATCTCTGCCTCCGTCAGCTGCACAGGCTTCCCTGGGCGGCTGCCCCTCACCTCCAGCAGCTTGCTTATAACTGCATCCACATCGATATCGGTTGTCGCTGCCATTATTGCTGCCGCTCCTGCTGCTGCACCTACGAATCCAAATACTCCTGCTATTCCGTTGCCTGCTGCTGCTGATGTTGCTGCTGCTGCTGTACGTTGTAATGCGTGTTGCTGCTGGTCGTCGTCGTCGTATCCGCTGCCGCTCTATCGATAAGAGCAGCACCACCACGAACCTTTTAGACAAACCAATGTAGAAAACTGCAGAATAAAAAGGCCTCCAAGGCCCTAACACACAAGGCGCTGAGCTGCCAAGCAAGAAGAGAGAACAGGCAACAAAGAAGAAATATATGGCTCTTCTTCTTTCTTAATTATACACACACCGCACAAACAAACACCACGAAACCAACAAACAAACAAACAATCTGTGTGATTTTTAATACTTCAGATGAAAACCCTCAAGAATAGACAACTAATTCAACAGCACCCCCGCTGAATTAGAAAAGATGAAAAAGCAGCAACACACGCAACCTTTGCAGGCACAATCCACCAGCTTGCATGCGGTGTAGGTGCGTTAGGTACTGTATGAATGCCGCTGTCGAAGCCTCCCTCCCAGGCGAGATACTTCTGCTTCAGTGGCTGCCTTCGCTGCTGCCGCAGCTCAGCAAACAGCACCACGAGCAGCAGAAGCACCAGCAGCAGCGGTAGCAACGGCCGATGGTTTGCTGAGTCTAAGGCCGCTGCGGAAGGAAAAGAGGCGCCCGCTGTTAGCCGAGTGTCTCCCTGCTGCGCTGTGAATATGCATGCATGCGGTTGAAAGGTGAAAAACAAAGGGGTCTGCAGCCGCTGCAGCTGTCCGCTTCCCGAGCGGGGTGAGGTGTACGTACACCTGCAAGTACGCGACGGGCGCAGGAAGTGTATGGGTTGATGAGTGGATGCAATTGCTTGAAAAGGATGGGAATTCGAGAGCAGTTAGGGCTGCTGCTGCTGCTGCTGCTGCTGCGAGGGAAGGTGAGGCTTGGAGCAGGTTGTGTGCTGCTGCTGGGCTTGGGTGAGGGCGAAGCTGCTACTTAGCAGCAGCATGGTTAAGCTGCAGCAGCAACAAGAAGGAATAAAGGCCCTCGACCACACACAAACGGCGGCTGCTCCTGCTGCTGCTGCTGCTGCTAGAACAGAGACCCCAGTGACAGACAGCGCAGCGCTTGTTGCACTAGGAGGCCCTCTGCAGGACTTAGGAGCAACAAGAGCAGCAGAAGAGGAATAAGCAGGCAAAACCGTTCTAACGAATCGCCGCTTTTACTGCAGCACTCCGCTGCTGCACGCAGCGAGAACCTCCCGTGCTGCTGCTGCTGCTGCTGCTGTTGCTGCTGCTGCGGCTGCGCGTGCCGATTGCCACCCGCGAGTGGCTGCTGCCGCCGCTGCTAATTATAAAATCGTCTCAAGTGCCTCAGCCTGTCTGCTGCTACTACACTGCCGGATTCGAAGGGATAATTGCGTAGAGGAGACAAAGAAGCCCCCGAAACAGCAGCAGACTGCGCCGCTACGCCCCGCCTTGGGCCCCTAGCCTGCGGCTGCTGCTGCTTGCAGCAGCAAGCACCCTCGCCTGGCTGCTGCTGCTGCTGCTGCTGCTGGCCGCACATTGGCCTTACACCGCACATTATTCCAAACATCCGATTTATTAATCTGCTGCTCGTTTTTATTTCCCGAAATTAAGGCACGAAAATCACCAATGCTGCAGCATCTCGCTGCTGTGTGCCCCAACGATAGAACGGCCCCGTTCCGAGGCAGCGGAGAGGGTAACAGCGACCGTGTGATGTTTTTCTTGAATGCTTCTTTTTCCATTCCCACGCAGTAAACACTTTATGTGTATTTACAGGGTTTTCATCAACGAGATCACACACCAAGGAAAGCAGCGACACTGGCCGGCAGACAGCCGCTGTAGCTCCTGCTGCTCCGGCTACTGCAACTGGTTTCTACGCAACGAACAACACCTGCTCTTCCCCGCTGCTGCTTTTTGAGTCTTAATCAACGAAATTCTTTACAGGGGAGTGAATCGCAAAAGCATCGCTTAGTGCAGCTCCTGGTTCGCCCAGCAGCGGGTGTGCGTGTAATGACAGTCCTCGATCATATCCGAGGTCTGCAGCAAGCTACAGAGAGTCGAAATACATTAGGAAAGAGTTACTTAAAAACAGTTAATAATTTCCCCCACAGTCTCCGGGCTTCCTGTGCACACCGACCCAAGCCCCTGGAGCTGGGGGAAGGGAGGCAACTCAACTTCCTACAACTAAAGGAGCAAGACAGCCCCATACGCAAGCGCAACCGAGCCTTCTGTACTGAAGGCTATAGCAGTGCAGGCAGTCCTTGAATAATTCTGATTGCCTGCAGGCTGCCTACTAAGGCTGAGAGAGGGTTCACGAGCCAACTACAGGCGTACGGAAAAAAAAGCGGAGACTCTGCGCTGCATGCATTAGCACTGCACACAATTGTTTGGGGAAATCTTGTTTCTTTCAGGCTCCGTACTAAGCCTAAGGCTTCATGTTCCAACTTCATGCAGCCTTACAAACGTCGGACGGGAGGAGCTCCATCGGCCTCCTCTCACCGCCACCGTCCAACCATCGTTTTGTCGCCGTTTGTTTCCTCCTTAGGCCGTTTAGGCAAGGCGTGCTCCAGCGGCTTCTGCTGCTCCTCGAATTTCTTGCTCTATCCAGAACGGCCTTAGCCTCTAGCAAATGAATTACTCGGTAACTGTGTTAGGGACACGGCTCTTCAGCAGCTGCGCAGGAAAAACGTTCAGCGGGAAATCGCTAGAGTGCACAACCCAGCTGGCAATACGGAGGTACTTTGGAGGCATGTTGTTGAGTACTCGACAAACGCTCGCTGTTTGCACTGGCGGTAGACTTGGTTGAGCAGTCTGTCAAAGAGTTCCACTGAGGTTTGTACACTGGAACAGTTTTGGATGTGTACATTTGAACTCCACGGGGCCCTCTACAAGTATTTCATATTTTTTACTTGTTTTTTGTGCTCCTTTTTTTTCTTTCATTGCACGATCTTCATAACAGTGAAAACTGAAGCAGAAAAGATAGTATTCTCTGATTTTGTTTGTTTGAGTAAGTCGTGTTCCTTCCGTAGCTCTGTCCGACGTCGTTCAGGAATCCACTCTTCAGGTGCAATAACACACCCTACTTGCATACATTGCATACCGTAGACGGCCGCGCGGCATCACTCACCTCTGTTACCGCTAGGCTACCGCAGACACTGAGTGACATTCTCACGAAGCCTAGCATCAATGCAAAGCAGCAGAGTACCCTAACCCCTTTCAGTCGTTGGGGACACTCCTATGGTAGAATATCCAGCAGTTTCCCTTACTCTTGTCTGTCTGCACACCCTGCTGCTCCCGATGCCGGTGGTGAAGGTGCCGTTGCTGCTGCTACAATTGCATTCCATGTATCAGTCCGCAAAGACTGTGCTGCTTTGCTTTCTACCTCTATGAATTACGGTGCTCAAAATAAGGGTATAAAGGATGGGATGGTGTTAAGTTTCAAATAGGAAGAGCAACAGTTGTGTTGCCATTGACAGTGAGTTCGCTGTAGGCAGAGACACGGAAACCTGATCACAGCAAAAAATGCTAAGGGGCTCCTCACCGCAGCGATGAGTTCCCCTGCGTTCGTGACTTAAGGATGGACTGTATATGTTCAGGAAAAGTCGTTTTGCACAAATAATCTTCCGAAGGTCTTTACGGTTGGGGGTCTTCTTGCCATTCAACTTATTTTGTCTTCTTTGTCCTCTGCAAACTGTTCGCACTGTATATCATTCCATTCTTCCGGAGTTTTGGCTGCTAAAAATTACGGGTTTTGCCACGTTGCAGGGTAAATTCAAGGGCATTCCGCCAGCTCTCCAAACCTCCCTAGAAATCTCCGAAATCTCCAATGTGACAGTAAGTCGGCGGCGTAGGTAAAAACGTAGAGACGAGAATGATGCGCAAAAGACCCCTGACGCGTGGGTATCTCCTGTAGCTGTTCACCCTCCCGCTCTCCTGGAAGAGAAAGTGGATCCATCGGAACCAAGCCGCCTGCTTTGGAAGAGTCTGCTGAATGGCATTTGCCTTTATTTGTTGCTTGGTGTACCTGCGCTTTCCCCCATCATGGCAGTGAGCTGTATTTGGACCTCGGGAACTCCAGGCGCACAAGGCATGGCTGCTACAGTCATGCCCAAGCTCGCGCCGAAGAGCGGTATTTCGGTGAACAATAGGGATACCAGATTGCAACGGGTATGAAAGTTGCATCGCCTTGTTTGTCATGCATCGAATTGTTCGTCACAAGGAATGGACTTAAGCACATTTGATGGACTTCGTTGATGTCAGCATATGGAGTCGCAAATACCGAAACTATTGTGTGGTGAGTCCAGTTTGGCCTTTTGCTTACGAGCGTTTCTCCATGCTATGGCCGACATCAGCCGTTTAATTAATTATCGCAGGAAAAGGCAAACTAATTTTGTTTCCGCTTCAACAATGATGCTTGTATGGGGCCTGTGAACTTTCCAAATGTGATGATTTAAACCATATATCAACAGGGAATGAAGTGTATACTGAGTCAACGATGGGGTATATGCTAAAGTAGCCACTAATCATGAGCCCAGTGTGAAATTCATTGAACTATCTGTCCAAATCCGTCCGGGTGTCAGACGGGTCAGCAAGAGTCCTGGTTTGAAGTCGTCCTATTTCCTCTGCTGCTAACAGTCAGGGCACATGAGGACGTAATCTTCCTCTGAGCGGCACAACCTACGCCTCTAGAAGGGTCTCGCCGTTTGCACCCCTGTTTCCACGCAACGTCAGCTAAAGGACGATCGTTCAATTTATGCAAACGTTGTGTGTGAAGCGAAGCTTCGACATATAATCAGTTTTGCATATGTTCAGTCTGGTACCACAAGAGCTTGCCGTCCTTGCTAGTACTTCACCCGTCGCCCTTGACTGACTTTAGCAGTCGATGCAGTCGCATAAGCATTTCAGAAGTAAGAAGAAAGTAATTTTGAAAGGAAGTGGAAATCGGTAGGTAGGAACGCAGTTGCAGAAAGCAGTGTTTACGTTGGAGGGCGGCTGGAGTGTAGCGCCCAAACACTACAAGGATACTCCAGCAGGCCCAGCAGAAGCTGATCTGGCAGGAGAAAATATACATGTATATACTTCACGGAGATATGTTACTTACCGAACCCTCAAATCCACAGAATAGGGCTATCACTATCGTACTCTGGAAGTCGGGCGTGTTTGAACATTAACATTAACGCCGGCACGTTTCTGCTCCCCACATACGTCCTAGACCTCCGTTTTGCTTACTAGGTACTTTTGCGCTCCCTGTTTGAAATGGTTTGAGTAGCGGGAAATGAATTGGTGCTCTTTCGAATTGTTGGCTTGCTGACAGAGCATCATAACAACTGCTGTGCCATTGGCATCCGTCGCTAAAAAGAAAGCCCCTGTCGGAATCAAGGGCTACTACTAGTGGAGATGATGTCACGTGACTGAGAAGGCTTCTGACAATTGCGCCCTCATTCTCTGTTCAAACTAGTTGCCTTTTTTAAGTACATCTGTCGGAGGGAGGCGATCCTTGCAAACCCAGGAATGAGCTTGCGGGTGGAAGGTACAATATAGAATAACTTTTGACTAGGTAACATCCGGACTTCTGAAAATCCATGCTAGTGTAACAGGGCAGGTGCTGCCTCCAAATTGCCTCAACCTTTGCAGAATTTGGTTCCAAATCCGCTGCCGAGACAGGTAACCCTATGACCCTAATCATCTGAACAAAAGCAAACATATTTGTGTTTTCACGAACCATTGCTCCTTGCGTAGCCGTTGCTGCACGTAGCAGGTGATGTAGGTCCTTCTGCACACCCGGCTTAACACACGTAGGTCAGCGGATCCAGTGCACAGCATCTGTGCAGTAGCTATGGCAACTGTTCCCCGTTCAACCGACCTTGTGTGAGCTCTTAGTTAGGTCGCGGTGTATTTTCGGATGCGGGTACAGAAGTGTTTGGCCCCATCAACTCACCGACAGTTGCGTGGGGAGCCCCCCAGCTTCCTGATTGCCTGTTTTTTCCGTTTGGGGACGCTTCTCAAAATCGTACTTCTGCAGCCTCCTCGCTGTCTTCCTACGTTTGCAATCGAGGGCTACGTGGCCTTGTTTATTGCAAAAGACACAGATACGCGTGCCGAGCCTTCCTTACCAGCCTTTGAGTTCGGAGTTGCCAGGTTGCCATCAGTTCCCGCTATACTTCCCCCTCTGGGTGAGGCGGGCATTGAGAGCGAATTCTGCTTGTAAGGTTGATGGACATGTCCCGTGCTATTCAACCCTTCATTCTTAGCCGAGGACCTCCGTGAGTTGCTCCACATGTAAAATGCTTCTCATAAGGTTTTATTTATAGCAACCTACCCCCACTTCAGTTTCCAGCAATTTAGGGCGGAACAGTACAAGGTTGTGGAAGTAATAAGGAGGGAAAATAGCCGCCTGTGATTTTGACGTCCTGTTGTTGCAAAACCTCTTGTAAGCCCATATATATAAGAATAGTGAGGCCACCTTCTGCATGCACCGGAACTGGAAACAGTAGTTAAACGCCTGCTTGGTCCTCACTGCCCTCGTTCGAATGATAGGATATTTGACAGCGCTTTGGGGGAGGGCATCTGCGGAATTCCCCTAGCTTTCTTGCAAGACATCTTTACAGCTAATTGGTGATATTAGAGAGGAAACCTGCCTGTCGGGATGGTCTCTGCTGCCCTCGCGCCCCCATCGAACATGCGGTCCTACAAAGTGCAAAATCTGTCATCTACGAAGGCTTTCAGTAGCTGCACGTGAGGCAAGATGTATGGGAAGAAAAGTGCATAGCGGAACCTGAACTTCTCTGCAGTAACAAGGAATCATGCACACAGCGGTGATATAGATGCTTGTGGCTGTGGATATACGCGCCTGCTTGTCATGTATTGCGTAGCACTCATTGCTGCAAGGTTGCGTCAAGTGTAAAGCTGGCCAAACCTCGTTTCGGTGCATAAGACAACGTTGTATTCACTTTAAACACCGAATCAGCCGTAACTAGCCAGACTGCATGGAATACAACTTCAGACAGGCCATGTGGCGTTTTCTCCGTGCAGCAGTTAAGCGTGCTTTAATTTGCTCGCAGGCTCGATTAAGACTGCCTAAATATTGCTCTCACTTTTAGTGCATGCAGCAAAAATGGATTGTCAATGCTTTCATTATGGGTTGTCTTGGGGCAGTAGTAGCCCTACAATGGGTTGCAGGCCTCGCCGCCCTAGCATATCCCATCAGAAAAACGCTCCGCCTCTGAGGGATACGTACTGGCTGTTAGGCCGGCTACCTCTTTTGACATACTTTTACAACCCCTAGACTTCGTTGTAGCATAATATGGTCCTCAACTAAGGGCGGGGCTCCCACCTTTCAGACTGCACAACACCCTTGGACAGCTGGATGATATTCGGCTCAACTTCCCTAATATCTGGGCTAGGTCCTGCTAACTATGTGCGCACCAATTCTCTGCTTTCTCGGTTTTACATGTGTTTGGCTCGAATGAGTATTTTGGTAGCCTTCGACTCTTCCAACTTCCAACTGCCTACGCACACTTCTGCTGAATGCGTGTTGTAAGAGGAATCACCTTCGTGGGTGTGAGCCACAGCACAAGCGATAACCAGACCTTCACAGGCCTCTGCAGTGTATTGTACGTGCATTTTGTCGTCAAAATTCTCTGGTATACTTTCGTAAGGACGGGTAGGTAGCGGGCAACTGCGGCAGACCGCGGCCACAGGAGCCCGACTTGCACTAGGGCGCTGGGGGTATATTCAGCGGGGGTCTTTGGCGCCCAATTTTAAACACAAACAAAGCCACAGGAATACGAAATACGCAAGCATAAAATTTGAGTTTTTTGTTTGCTGGGTGAACGCAGCGCCTGCGCCTACATTCTTAGCAACCGGGCCGGCCAAGAGCGGCGCTGCTGCCGCTGCCGACCGGTGCGGGGGCTTTTTGGCCTCCTGCGAGAGTTTGTTTCTCTTTTGCCTTCCTTTTTGCGTCTTCTGTTTGAAATTTCAACGGCTTGACTGCTTCCTCGTGTGTTTTCGGCTTTGGTCCCAGTTTGCTGCTGCTGCAGCTCTCAGGCTGCAGCAGCAGCTCACTGACCAACGCCAGTACACCGTTCGCGTTTACGCATCTTTGAACGGAACGCATCGAGGATTTTACACCTTTTTTTGCACTTTACTACTCAAATACGAACAGTAGACACTTGGGTTGGTCCTCAGCAAGGCCCAGTTTGCTCTCCTCCCCCGCATAGCGCGCCAGGGGCTCCTGTGCAGTAGTCGGCAGCGGCAGCAACCAACGTAAGCGCCCCAGATTCTGCTGGTGGCGCATTAGCAGAGACTGCAACAAATACACCATCATCTGGAAGACTCAACAGGAGAGACAGCGCTCCAACTCCCTCGGTACCCCGAGGCCAGCAGCCGCCGGCTGCAGCAGGCAGCAGCTGTACATACACACCATCACACCACGCCTCAGGGAACGCTGCTGCCCCCCAAAGCGTCTAGTAAATCACCTTGGCACTGCGTTTCTCTTGAAGGGGAGCAGATCCTCTTCACCCTGTAGCTGCAGACAGCAGCAACAGCAGAGGGAGCATAGTACGAAGCACTAGAAGAGCTCACGCAGCTGCTGCCCCGTGCCCCATGGTATTCGGGGGATTTGCAACTTCTGCTCTATAGCGGGAACTCTCCAGGGTCTTCAAACTGTATTTTGGGGCCCGTGCACCTCAAACATGGCTCATCCAGCAAGCAACCAGGCGGCGTTGCAGCAGCAGCTGCTGCAGCAGCAGCTGCTGCAGCAGCAGCACCAACAGCCCTACGCGCGCACAGACCGATACAGGCCTTTGTCGTCTATGGGTTCAGGGTATCAACAGGTCCTCCAGCAACCACGTGAGCTCCCTTGTCTGCCCCGACTTGTGCTGTTGAGTCTGCAGTTGTCTAGTGCGCCTGTCTGCACACTGACATACGTAAAACAAGCAGGCATATTATGCGTGTATACTTTGCTGTCTTTGTTATTTTTGCTTTTCAGCTAACAGCGATTTAGGTAGCCATGGATTTTCCGGAGGAGACACACACGCAAACGGCGCAGCGCCCTTTGTAGCCCATCAATCTTCTGGAGTGGGGGCTTCTGTAGCATTTGGCAGCGATCATGATGATGGAGGGTCTGCGGCATACAGACGAAACAGACGGAAAGCCACGCTGAAGATGGTGTTGGTGTCCGTCATTTTGGTTTCGTTTTTGTGCAACTTCGATCACGGAGTCATTCCAGCGATCCTTAGCGAAATTCAGAAGAACTTCAACAATCAAATCAAATTCGTAGAGCAAAGCCTCTTTGGGTCTCTTGTCTACTTCGGCCTCATCATTGGCAGCCTCTTCGCCGGTGAGCCAACCAGTGAAGTTGAGAGCCTAAAGTTATATACTTGTGTATATATTCACTTTTTAATCCGTTTACCTATCTACAAGCCATGTCTACCCCTTTCGCTCCCTTCCTGATACAATGTGTATATGCATATGCACATGCAGGTAAATATGCGTGTGTACGCATACATGCATGCATCATCGTCTCCAGTAGCATATTTTCTACACTATTTGAGATACCGTTAAATGTAGAAGCGTGTACTGCACTGGAACCCAAACTTATTTGCATCTCTCTCTCTCTACCGTGCCAGTGCACAATTCGTGCAGACACGCAATTTCGAAATTTGTCTGCAGGTGCGCATGAAAGTAATGAATGCATGGGTCAAAAGCGAACTCAATCAAATTCATCTCAAGGATTCTGGAAGGTGACGAAATGCTCTTTCTGCTTTTTGTTTGTTCAGGCATTGCTCTGCAAAGTTATGGAGCGAAGTGGCTGCTTGTGGCAAGTTTGTTGTGTTTGGAGTCTTCTCTCTTTTTCTTTTCAAGTTCAAACAGTTTGTTGTTGATGTATTTCATGCGCTTCATCACCGGCCTATGCCAGGTACCTTCTCTTCTTTCCCTCCCTCAGCACTCACATTTCTCCTGCATGGGGCGCTCGGCACTTGCGAATTTATAATCAAATGTAGAAGAGCGTGCTTCTACGCTGTTTATCCGGGCCTGTATGGTTGTGTACTACACTGGGGTGCTAATGTATTCTTCGTGCTGCTTTTTGTATAACTTGCTGCTGCTGCGATGCTCGGTGGTTGCAGGCGGTTCCTGTTGTTTATCTGCCCGTCTGGGTAGACGACTACGCCCCTGAAGGCGAAGTGACTAGATGGATGTCTTACACGCAGTTGGCAGGCATTGGAGGTGAACAACGCAACCCAGATTTGTGTTGCGAGGCAGAACAGCTCAAGCATGAGGAAGTCTTCATGCGTGCTCAGTGAATTTATTCGTACGGTATACATATAGTTGTATGTGTGCTTTGTCTGTATGCATATGAACATCTATGTGCATATGCCTACATATACATATGCATGCTCATAAGTATATACGTATATCCATGTATATGTATATTTATTTGCAAACAGGGTGATGTGAGCCTGGAGTGGATTCCGGAGTGCATGCCCCTAAAACCTTATATATGCACATAATATTTATGTACTCGATAATTATAGCTCCCATATGCGTATGAAAAATTACATGCTGCTATTATATATATAGAGTCCATGTATTTTGTATTATCTGTAGAGTATGCACAAACCGTGTCGCACAAGAGGAACATGAACATGGGCTGATGCATCTGTTTTATAGGCACTGTCACCGGCTATTTTATTGGGGGTGTTTTCTCGCGTTTAACTGCGCCTAGCGGGGAGAGTGGCTGGAGGACGCCTTTCTTTGTGCAGGTGGGTTGTTTGTCTACAAGGGTTCAGGGACACAGGGCACTTTATTTGTTTTACCTACATGCAACCACAAAACCTGACACATGCAGGTGTGGAACAGCAGGCATGCTGGTTTTGCGATCTTTCATCATTTGCTGCAGTCCGTTGCCCTCGCACCCGTGGTGCTACTCCTTGCGGCGCTGCCCGCCTCCCTTGTGAACCTCTCAGACAGAAGCCAAGCCAGACCCGAGAGGCAAAGGTAAGACTAACCTCATATATAGTTATACATATCCTGTTTTTTCATAAATTTGTACACATATTTATGTCAATCGCATACACAAGCAGCGAACAACACCAAACTCCTCTAGGCTCGTATATATATATATATAATATAT